GGGTGCAGGGCCCAGGGCAAATCAGCCTGTGCAGGGCCCTGCCCCCATACACAAGGAAGCCAGCAACAGATTTGGCAGCAGGGTGTGGGAGCAGTACTGAGCGGCTGGGCATGAAGCTGGCGGCAGCGCGGAGTTGCCGCAGCTGCTCTGCCTGGCTTCGCGGGGCCCCCCAAACTGCAGGGCCCGGGGCCGTCATCCTGATTCACCCCCACCCCCAGGGACGGCCCCACCCCCAGGGACTAGATGTTTGAGGTTGCATGGGGGAAATGGGAAAGGAGTTTGGCATAAAGCATCATGAATCCAATCCAGCACTAATTGAAATAAATGGGAGTCGTTCCATTAACTTCAGTGGGCACTGAATTAGGTCACATATAACTACTATCTTTGTAATAAAAGCTCACACAAGGCTTAAGGTCCTTATTATTCTACTCTAAGACTGTGCTGTTAAATAATATGCTTTATGTCACTCATTCATAAAAATGGAGTTTGCAGTATCTGTTGATGGGGATGGCTAGAAAGACCTACGAATAGGACGTTTTAGAACAAATAAAAATATAAATTCAATGGAATAAAAGTACATTCAGTGCACTACAGTCTGTAGAAGGGGCAACAGACCCCACAAGGGTTTGTCTAGCCACCCCACTGGTTGCAGATTGTCTCTGAATGTTGAAGCATCTATTGAAATGTTAGCATTTTGCCATTCTATATTATGTCACTTGTACAGATAGGGTGCATCTACATGAGACATTGCTGTGCAGTTGACTAATTAACTGTGTAGTAAGTGCTTCTGTGCCTACATGTGTGCCCCTGTTAGGGTGCATGAAACTAATAAACTTTGGAGCAGGGTGGTACTTGTGAAATACAAATACTACCCTTTTGCGGAGTTATTTTGTCCATAGCAGCCCACGTGTAGATGCTGCTCTGGTTGGCTGGGGTACAGGGTGATTCAGTGAAGGGCAAGCCAGCAGGCAGCCCCTGCGCTGAAGCACCCTTTGTGCCCCAGCCAGCTGCTTCACAGCACATGGAGCCCTACCCGAGCAACCAGCCCAGGGTTGCTCTGATGGGGCTCCACATGCTGCGGAGAGACTGGCTGAGGCATGAGGGTGGTTCTGTGCAGGGCTAGCTGGCAGGCACATCTGGGAGTGATTCACTTTGAAACAATAAGCTCCAGAGTTTATTTGTGTGCATTAATTGAACATGTAGATGCAAGCACAGTAAGGTAGTGCTACTTATAATTGCATTAACTTTCATAACCTGTACTCCTGTAGTAACCTTGTTTTTTTCCATGGCATTTTTATTTTCCTTGTGGTTGGTAAATAAATTATGGGCTGGATAAAAAGCTGATTCCTTTATTTCTTTTGAAGAAGTGAGGCATACATTACACAATTTAATTGGAAATCAAGAGCAAACTAACTAGATATATAGGTGCAAGCGAGTTTTTTATTTTGTTCTGGAAGCTGTTCAAACAGCAAATATCTGATCCTGACCAGAGATCTTCAGATGGTACCACAATACTGCATACTGTGGATAACAGGTTAACAGAATTGAAAATTTAGTTTTACAAAAAGTCCCATTATTTATGCTTTAAATTTAAAAAGCAAAGCTATACATTTAAAAGTAATATTCCAGGATTTAGAAAGGCTACAAGATGTAAGCCTACTCAGTGGTCTAGCTTTTATATATTGGAAGGACATTTTTTCCCACAAAAAGCCTATTCCTCTCTTTTTATTTCCTGTTTAATGTATGAAATAATGCTTTAAATGTGCAGAAAATCCTAGAAATCCTATGGTTAGAACACTGTAGCTTCTATCCTATATTTAGGTATGGCATCTATGCCTACCTTAATTCAAAATGACTATTTTGTTTACTTTTCTCTATGTATTGATTGCAGAGCAAAGACACTGATTTTGAAAAATATGAAAGAAGTGGAATGTAAATTCAGAACAGAAGCTAATTGTGTAAGTTAACTCCTATTTACTCTTCTGTCCATTACTAATCCATAGCTTTTTATTTCCCATATTTTTTTCATAGAAGTTGTAAGGGTCAGTACACTAACATTCAATTATATGATCGCTTTATAACTGCAGCCAGTGGAAGCAATGAGGTTTATTGCATAGAGCACTGGACTAGGGGGCAGGAGACCTAAGTTTAGTGTAAGAGTGACGTTGTAGCCTTAATGGTCCAGAAATTATGCAAGAGGTGACCTGAAGAAGAATGCATTGCATATGAAAGTTTGTCTAAGTCTATCCCAACCAGGTAGTTGGTTCAATAAAAGGCATCAACCAGAAAAATCTTTGCCCCTCACACATTTCCTGGACCATCACAACATCACTCCAACACTGTCCAGTGTGGGTTCTTTTATCATAATCACCTTACTTTTCAAGTATTTATATAGCTTACTATTTCAGTGATTAGTGTATCTGTGAGTTATTACCTTGTCAACAAAGCTCTCCCATCCAGATCTTTTATTTTTTGGCACGCAATTATATCTTGGGTTTTGAAGCTAGAATTTACCCAGAAGGCTTTTCTGTTTTGGCATCCTGAAATGTTCTGAGTGACATGGCTGAAAACAAAAACATAGGAGAAAGGGAAGAATCCTAAAACACTAAATAGAAACACTATTGTGGAGTCTAACCCAGTTGTTGACTATTATATCGTCTTTCAGTATTAAAGAAACAGAAAGTTAAAGGGAATTTGTCAGAGAAGAGTAGGCCAAAATTTGATCTACATTTCTTTCTCTTCATGTTTGGAGGAAAAATATGTTCACAAATTCCATACATTGCTCTTTTTTTCAAATATTTTCTTAATTGCTCTTTTTTCTAAAGCCTTAAGATCAATACTGGTGACTGTACAATAACAACCTAATGTCTGCATAGAAAGAGGAAATAAAACATTTTAGAAGGAAACAGATTGCTCAAGAGTTTATTTCAGAATGCAAAGAGTAAAAATATTTTAAAGATTTAGAAAACTGCTTCCACACATGTTTTTTAACCTAATTTAGAACTGCTGGCTTGCAGGAGTTGTTTAGGATGGTATTTTTTTAACTATATGAATGTTGAAGTTGCTCAAGCTGCCCTAGAAAATGACAGCTTAGAGATAAACAAGAGGATATTTTAAACATGAAAATATGCAAGTTTAATGATCTACCCTGCTATTAAGGTCTGTGTATTTATATGGGTTATTCCATCAATAGGAGAAGAGACACTTTAATGTAGAAAAAAAAATCAGCAGACTGCTTCTTAAAAGCATGTGTGAAGAACATCACACCAGTATCCAAGATCAAATTCTTGCCGAAGTGCAGATGGCACTGAAAAGTGCACAGAGCAACTGTAAATGTCCTTCTCGGTATACTGGGGAATAAGCTGTTTCTCTCTTCCTTGGCAAGGTGATATCACAAAGAAGCTTAGTTTTATTTTGTTTTTCAAAATGAGTATGAATACAGCTAATACAAAACTGTACAGAAAACATCAAGTACATTTTTACTACAGCTTTACTCAGCCATTTGCTGGATACTGTAGTTTCTTGCATACCACACACTCTCAAATGCAGAATGAAAAACATTTTTTTCCCAGGGTTATGGCTGCATAGAAGAGGGGCAGAGTCTAATCTTCAGCTCATCCCCCCTCCCTCTGATGTTCAGCTAAAAGTTGAAATTGTAGCTGCTGCTGAAGACTGGCCTTCATGGGCAGATCTATGAATTTGAAAAGAGCTAAGAAGTCTGAGAGAGACCAGGAGTAGCTAACAGACAGCAGAACTGCCAGGAGAAAGATTAGCTTAATTAGTGGAACATCAAGACCATTTAAAAGAAGAGCTAGTCATTAGGGTTCTTTGTGTAATTCTGATATCTTTTATTAGACCAACTCAAATAGTTGGAAAAATTCTTAGCAAGCTTTTGAGTATAAATACCCTTTCTCAGGCTGAGGAAGCATCTGCAGTTGGTGTGCGCTCTTCCTGGATGGAATGAATAGTAAAGAAGCCAGAGGGTGGTGTGCAGGCAAGAAAGGCAGTTAGTGAAGATATAAACTGAGGAGTCAGTGGGTGAGAGACAGGCTGGGGATGGTGGGGGGAAAGGGGAATAAATATAGCTGGTAAAGAATGGAGAGGTACCTGGGGATGCAGATATTAGGCATGTTATGTGTCATAAATCCACTGTCTATATTTAGTCCATGATTTTTACTATCCAGGAAGTTGATGAAGTAAAGTTCATAGGCTCATCTGTGAAAGGTGTTTTGTAAGTTCCCTTTGAGAATTAGAACTGAGAGATTGGAGAGAGAGTGGTTTTCTTGTGAGAAATATGCCCCCACAGGTAATTGGATATTCTTGTCTTTGATAGATTTCCGGTGTGCATTCATTCTGGTGCGCAGTTGTTGTTTTGTCTCTCCTACATATTTTTCATCAGGGCATTTGGTGCACTGGATGAGATATATTACATTTTTGGAAGGGCATCTGTAAGATCCGGGAATGCTGATGACTCTGTTGTGGAGTGTAGGAATTGTGGGGGTGATGGAGATATGTTGGAAGTGTTTACATTTCTCGTCATGGCATAGTCTGGATACATTCGATGTGCTTTGGGCCATAGGAAGTTTGCTTCTGGTGATGAGGTTAGCAAGGCTGGGTACTTGTTTGAAGGCTAGTCATTAACACCTGTGGAGTGAAAATCAATGCATTAGGTCAATTCACTTCCTCAGAGGCCTGAATAGAAATGTCACCGCTGCTGCCAGGCAGTTAGTTTTAAAATTTGAGAGTAGGGATAGGCATTCAAAAAGCCTGAGTCTGAATTGCTTGATTCAAAGATTGATTCAATCTTTGCAGGTTAGTCTAACCTGCCTAAGCTGAATCAGTTTGTAACTGAAAAGACATCCCCTCTGGACTGAGAAAATACAGGCACATGCCTGCATTGGCTCAGGCTAGAAGCTGGGGATGCTAGAGCAGCCCTCCCCCCCTTCCACAGTACTGAGCTGAGGGGTGGGGGCATGGCCAGACCCCAGCAGGGCGCTCTGATTAGGGAGGGGTTCCCCCGCTTCACTGAGGGAGCCAGCAGGGATTTACACAGCATTTAGTTACACAGCATTTATCAGCCCATCAGCAAAACAACAGGCTCTCCATTAGTTCAAGCTCTTCTTAAACAACATTTCCAAGGAAAGAACAGAAGGATATTACCAGCTGAGCTGTTGATTAGCTCCAAAGGTCCTAAGGGGGCTCTGCTTCTGTCCCATTTCTCACAGCACGGACCATAGCCAACATATGGTCTGTTCACTAATGCTAAGAGGTGTCTGTGTAACGCAGAGGGGAGCGGGGATCCCTGCTTCAGCAGGGAGGGATAAGGGGATGGGGTGGGGAGCAGGAGGAAGCCAGGCAGAGAGCCCTGCCCAGCCCACAGACCATGCCAAGACGCTGGGGGATTCTGATTTAACTTAAACCAGGAAGGGGTCAGGGACAGACATTGCATAAATTGGTTTGACTCAAGTCAGTTAAGTCTGATACTACATTCAACCAGGTTTCACTCAAACTGAGTTCAGCCATTTTCAAACTGGTTTATGTGCACTGAACATCTATTTTGTTACACATTTAAACTAGTTTCTGATCACTTAAACTGGTTTATGTGTAATGTCTGTCCCTAGCCTGGGTGGACCAGGAATCAGTGGTGTGCTTTTTTTCTGGGCATAAATCAGCTTTTCCACATAGGAAACACACCTCAATTTTGGAAGGTTAATTTTTGGTAAAAAGGTACATCTGGTATGTTAGCAAATACAATATGATATGATCAAATTCCAATTCATGGATCATTTGTATAAACTCACAGCAAGTAAAGTAGTGTGGCTGCCTGAAATTATATAGTTTGGGATACTGTACTGCTGAAAGATTTCATTACGTTGTCTGTAATGGTAGCTGTTAGGCCTATGTGAATAGGGAAGTATTTGATTTGTATTTGGCCAGTTTGGAGGACAGTGATTCAATTTGGAGATTCGGATCACTGGCCTGATTTGATTTGGCTGAATCGGTTTTGAAGATTCAGCACTGATTCGGAGAAATTCGGAGATTCGGCCATAGACTATAAAAAGGAATCACTGAAATATCTATACTCATGAAGCCTGCCAGTTTTCAAGGAGATGGGGGTTTCTGGGAAACTATATCTCAGGCTGCTGACAAGCAAAATTCATGACATGGGTGACAATGTGTGTGTTTAAGGTGCACCCTCACTGGTACTGGGGCCTCTACATGACACGGTAGTGTGCCCCATGAGTTCTCCTCCTCCCCTACAGCCTCATCCTGGTCCACCACTTTAAATGACAACAGGTAATAACTTAGTAAGCAGCACAGTAGCACCAGCAGCATCTCAGGCAGCCAAATTGTCACAGACTAGAGGCTGTGAAAAGTGGTTAATAAATTCAAATAAGCACCGAACCTTGCTAACCTAACCTCATCACCAGAAGACAACTTCATACAGCTCAAAACACAAAATCTGCCAATAATCTTCAGTACCCACAGAAACTGAATGCCAGAATCTATCAAAGACAACAATACCCAACTACCTGTAGGGACACATTTCTCATCAAAAAAACACCCTGCCTCCAGTCTCTCAGGCCTGATCCTCAAAGGGAATTTACAAACCACTTTTCACAGATGGGCCTATGAACTTCACTTCATCAGCCTCCTAGGTACAGAAACTCATGTACTCAATATAGACATTGGATTTATGAGACATTACAACCTGCCAGACATCTGACTTCCCACGTACCACTCCGCTTTTGCCTGTGCTGCTATATCCCCCTTCCCCCACTACCCCAGCCTGTCTCTCACCCCCTGACGTCTCCATTTTCACTTTCACTGACTGGCTTTCTTGCCTGCATTGCATGCCAGCTTCTGGCTTCTTTACTATTCCTTCCATTCAGGAACAGCACAAACACGCCAACTACAGGAGCTTCCTCAGCTTGATAAAGGGTTTTTCAACTGGAAA